AATATAAGTAATTTGATTTTTCTTGGCCTAGACTTAATTGTTTTTCTCTTCCTTTAATAACACAAATGTTCAAATTCTAGTTATCTAAAATTTGAAGGTATACTCTGGTTTCTCTTCAGATCTTATAAATCGCCTTTTACTAAAATTTGAAGGTAAAAATGTTTATGGCTATTTAATTGCTACAGTTGCAGTTTTTAAATTTTTGGAATGTAACTTTTGATTTTGCAAAGGATGTTCATGTATTTGCTTTGGAATACAAAGTGGGAGATGGACAACGGATTTACCTCGTCACAACCTATGCTCAGCTTTGGTTCTACTATAAGTCCCGGTAAGTAGTTTTTCAATGCAGCATACTAAAGCTAACGTGACATTTCTTCCATCTAGCAGTTTTTGTAAAATAAATTCAGATTGAATTGGCTTTCACAGTCCTTGACCCCAAATTCCGTTACTTTTTGGTAACCAAATGTACCAAATAACCTATGCCTTCAGGCTGAGTCTGACTTATAGCCTCTGTATCAGACAGCATAAAACTACCTCCATAGGATTTACAAGACTATAAAGACATTGAATTCTACCACCAGATGTTGTTAGGGAAAAAAATCATGGGCACTTACGCCTCGTGATCCAACGTTGTGCATGTATGACAAGCATAAACAAATCTGTCTCTCTGGAGCATTAACTCTGTGCTCTGGCAGTAGTGAATGCTGACGTGTGGAGCTAGAGGCACTGGCTGTGATGCATTAGGTTAGGGGTCCGTGGGGCTGGGCCAGGCTTCTCGGCGGTTTGGAAGTCATATGATGATGTAATTTGGCAGTTACATAGTGATGTAGTCACCCTCCATTTTATGAACTGATGTGATCATCCCCTGTTGTTGCATAACACCAGAGCTCGCATTAGAACCTGGCCTTAGGAAGCTAAGCATGTGGGTAGGTGACGAGCAAATATACCTATCTTGTTCATGTGTGTTTGTGTGTGCACGCACACAAGAGTAAGTCAGAAAGTATTGCAACAAAATCATAGGCACCTTTAGTAAACAAAAACATCAAAATGTGAAGCTATGTCCCTCCATATCTTCCACGTACGTGTATACACTTCTGAAGGCAGGGTTTCCGTCTCTAGCCCTTCCCCGCAACCTTCTGTGCTCCTGGATTTACACCTTGTCAAAACCGCTATTTTGGTGTCCTCGGGGATTCCAGTCGTGTTCCTTTTAAATGTTCTTTGAGTTTGGGGAACAAAAAGAAGTCCAGAGGGACAGCGTTTGCCACCCTTGAAGAATCAACAAGTGTACTGTCATGAAAAATTCCTTGGCACAATGCAGTTTTCAATTTTCTCAAAACTTTGTTGTAAGCTCTGGTGATTGACTTGTGTCTGTTGGTAAAACCTATCAAGATTCCCCGTGGGAATCCTACAAAACAATCCCTATAACCGCCTGAGCTGTTCTCTCTGCCTGGAACTTAACTGGCCCAGGCTGGCAGAGCCCCTCAGAAGCCACTGTTCACTGTTGATTATACTTTCTGTTTTGAAGTCACCCTTAGTGAGTCTAACTCACTGCCTTCCAGTTTCTGCTGACTCATAGCGACCCCAGAGAGCGGCGTGGAACTGCCCCTGTGGGTTCCGAGCTTAACTGTTTACGGGACTAGAAAGCTCCGTCTTTCTCTCCTGAGGAGCTGTGGTTTCGGACTGCAGACTTTGCAGATAACAGCCTAATTCCTAACTACTAAGCCACCAGGGCTCCTCCTACAGTAAGACACGTATATTACTGAGAGATCTTGTCTGTAGTCATCCACTGCATCTAGAGACATGTTCATTGAAACATGTTCTGTTTAGAATAAGGCCGTACATGTATAACTGGAACCACAGTAGCAATACTTTTTTACTTAGCTTCATATGTTCGTGTCCTTCTGTTAACCAAAGGGGATTCTGAAGTTTCTTTTTGTGTAAGCAAAAATTAAATTGTACTATCAAGAAAGGAGCCCTGGCCTTGCAGTAGGTTACCAGTTGGACTGCTAACCACAGGATCAGTGGTGCAAATCCACCAGCTCCCATCAACTCAATGACAGTGAGTTTGTTTTTGGTCTGCTCCTATAGATTTACAGCCTCTGAAACTCACCGTGGCAACTTTACCCTGTCCTATAGGGTCACTGTGAGTTAGAATTGAATCTACTCAATGACAGTGAGTTTGATTTGGGAGCTCTGGTGGCACTGTGGGGGAAATGTGGAGTTGCTTAAGTGCAAGGTCAGCACTTCAAACCCACCAGTTGCTCTGTGGGACAAAGATGAGGTTGTATGCTCCTGTGGAGATTTATAGTGGATTTGGTTTGGATTTTCCTAATCTCAGGTGAATTCTTGTGTTCCCATCTAACAATGAAGAAATTGCAGCTTAATATAACTTTAGATCTATTCAAGTACTTATACTTATATAGAGAAAAGGGGAACAGATTAATGTGGATTCCCTGAATTGACTAATGCTATTTTTATTAATTTATTTAATCAGCTGAGTTAGGCTATTTTTATTTTGATGTCTTTAATTCCCTTCAAATATAAAACTAAGTTTGCTTATGTTTATGTATAGATGACCCCACTTTGCAGTTGAAGCCATCAAGATAGTGTGAGATGATGTTTGCTGCAACTAAACCTCATCTTGCCCTGTCAACACAGTACTATTACAGAGCATGTGTGTCTAGTTCTACCTGCGTTTTGTGTTCTTATACTCCCCGTGCCAGACCATGACAAAATTCTCCCGCCACTCTGTGGTGTTCGCCTTACTCACTGCCATCGAGCCCATTCCTACTCATGGCACCTCAACAGAACGGCGTAGAATGGTCCCAGTGCGTTTCCAAGACTGGAACTCTCTCCAGCACTCGAAAGCCTCTTTCTCCCGGGAGCCACAGGTGGCTTCCACCTGCTGAACTTACAGTTAACAGCCCAATGTGGCTCCTGTTGCGCCCCAGGACTCCTGTTCATCTTATTACAAAACCTTCATTTGTATAACATGCCATTGGAAATTCACTCGGCCCCAGCTATTACTTAGGTGCTAAAGGGACCATCCAGAGAATCAGGTATGTTTGAAATCACCCTCTGTTCTCAGGAACTGAAGTCCGAGTCACATCGCGTGTACACCTAATTACCCGGGTGAGTGCTGAAAGTTCCTGGAAGCCAGATGACTAAAAAAAAAATAACCCAGTATTAACGTAGTGTCTTCCCAGTGAAAATGCTTTTCAATGTCCTCACAGAAGAGTCATGGACTTCCCAGAATGTGTGATCCTTTAAGGAAAACACAGTTCCTTTCTAAAACAATAGACCTCAGCAACAACAGAGCAAATAGAGAAGTGTTAGCTGCTGTTCAAATCCCCTGGCAGGAAATAACATGTTGTTTGAGGTTAAGTGTGTTTTCTCGTTAGATAATGCTACAGATCACAATGTCATGTTTCGTTTGGTGGAAACTCGGGAGCCTGAGCCATAAACCCATGGATGGCACATGCTCACTCTCTCATGTCTTCATTACTGCCTCGTTACATGTCATTTACAGCTAACACAGTCTCTCTTGAGATACAAGTTTAGCTCCTATGGTTTAAAAGATGGAAGACAGGAATCTCACCTTCTCAAATTTTTCAATCTAGCAAAAATCTCTTGCACTGCTATGAAGTTATACCTGAAAATTCTGTGTGCAAGCTTTATTTTGATCTGGAATTCAACAAACTTGCCAATCCAGGAGCCGATGGGAAAAAGATGGTGGCCCTGCTCATTGAGGTAAATATAGCGGCCGGTGTCTCCCGGTCCCCCTCCGTGCAGCTCTCCACTCTCTCGTGCGTTCGTTAGGGGAAACCAGCTTGTGTGATACACAGGTTCTGCAGCGCACCTCTGTTCTCCTGCTGTTCTTCCTAGGGCCTTGTTTCTGAACATCACATCTACCAGTAAGCTGGGCAAGGAGGGGACGGTGCAACGTGTGCTCATAGGTTTGCTAGCATTACTCTACCTGGTGAAAACCTTGGAGAAAGATAGAAGCTTGGGCATTTTCTGCATTTTTAATTTGTGGATTAATTATCTGACCTCCAGTATCATAGCTTACTCGGACTAAGGCCAAAGTAATTTTACCATCCAAGTGGGTACTGTGGACATCAAGAAAGCCATGGGAAAATGAGTGTCAGTGTGCTTTTGGAAATAAAACTAAAACCCTCACTGTCGTGGCGTTGTTTCCTACTCACGGAGACCTTATAGGACAGGGTAGAACTGCCCTTGTGCAACTAGCTCTTGACTGGAGTAGAAACCCCCGTCTTCTCCCAAGGAGCAGTGGGGGTTTCAAACTGCTGACCTTGTGGTTAGCAGCTCAACTTGTAACCACCGTGCCACCGGTGCACCTCGCTGTTAGTTCTCCATGTATATGAATACTGACTTTTTATGATATGTAACATGCTACTACAGTCAGGTGAGGTCAGGCACATTCAAGGTGGTCTGGCTGTAGACCGCTTCTGACATCTAAGATAGGATGTATTGTATAGGCTCTATGTGGACACCAGAGATTTTTCTAGTGGTACTTTGTGGTTATCAGTCCAATACTTAACTCCTGATGCCACAAGACTTGGGCTTCTAGTGGTACTTTAATAAGGTAATACCACAGGCAAAAAGACATCATTGTAGTAGAAACCTGAAACATTCCTAATGGAAGCAACTCTAGTACAAATCCCATTTGTAACATAAATTAATTCACACTGATTTATCAAGGATATTGCAGGGGTTTACATTTTTCTCTCCCTTAATTCTGTACATTATCCAGATAAGTTTAGAACAGTTATCTCCTGTATTAGCAAAATTTGAGAAAAAAAAAAAAAAGCTGTAGAAAAGAGTTCAAAATGTATACAGTGGTTGTACTTAACATGTTGACCAGCTTGGTTGAAAAATTTCTATAACAGGTTTTTAAATGATTATATGTTGAAATTCACTAATTTCACTTACTAGATAATTTGAATATAACAAGTTTATAATCCAGTAAGTACTTTCTCTTTGAATCGGTCTATGTAAAGAGGCAAAAATTAAGTCAGCTTTTGTTTAACGGATGGCTAATAAATAAGTGGATAATTACAACTGGTGATAATAGATAATGTACTTTGATTCAATAACTGACACATTTCAATAAGCTACGAATCCCGGGTTTAATGCATTTGGCAAAACCATATAGATTAGAAATAGTACTCAAGCTTTATTTTTAGCTTTTGTATTTGATAATTATTTTTAAAACTTATATTTTTAATTTAAAATTTAATGTGGTAGAGAATTTAGCAAGAGTGTGATAATCTTCTAGTATCTGAAGAAGCATTATGTTCATTCTGTGTTGCTCTAAAATACAAAACTAGCTTGCATTCATTTATCAATTTTTTTCTGCAGCTAGTAAGGACCAGACACCGTGCTAAGTACTCAGAATGTAATGGTGAGGCCAAGAAGACATGGCTTTTGCCGTCACAAAATGTATAGTCTAACGGAGGGTATAAAATAGGCGATATTCAACCGTTAGCATAAAAAAGTAAAGTGTCTTACTAATTAGAAATATATTTCTTTTTCATGTAATATCTGGGTGTGGCTCCCCTCTATTAGGAATGAGGCTGTCTTTGTCTTGCTGTTTTGCTCCCCCTAAGACATTGCCTTGCTCACATTGTCCAAGGTGTCACACCACCACCCAGCCTCCCTTCCAGTCAGTGGAAGTTGAGAGAGCGAGCAGCATGTCCCTGGTTTGAAGCATGTGACTTGGAAGGTGCACACTCTTCTTTTGTTCACTTTTCCTGGGTGAGATTTAGTCACGTTGCCAGACTTAGTTACAAGTGAATCTGGGAAATGTAGTCTTTATTCTGGATGGCTAGAAGTCTAGCTAAAACTCGGGATTCTATTTCTATAAAAAGATATTTTTAAAAAGGAGATACTGACAGATAGCCCGTATGGAGAAAACATGTGAAATTCACCACAAATTAGCATAAATTGCAGCTGCCAAGAGAGAAGTCGAGGAGGAATTGGTGGTAGGCAGGGAATTTGGAGAAGACTTGAGAGAAGAACAGGCTCAGAGAATGTAAAGAGGAATGTGGTAATTGAATACCGCCAGCTGTTAGGAACCTGGAGACTTGGCAGTTTACAGAAAGGTTTGCAAATCCAAAGGGAACTATGCATGATGTTCTTCGCAGCTACATTTTGCAAATAATACTGAGGCTTAGGGAGATGTGACTTGTTTAAGGCTGCACAGCTAATGCTTTTAAGCAGTGACTGTGTCAGATATAAGGAGCTGTCAGTTAAGCATTAGACTGCTAACCTCAAGGTTGGTGGTTCAACCCCCCTAGCCACTCTGAGTGAGACACACGAGGCTGTCCATTCCCATAAAGATTTACAAAGCCTTGAAAACCCTATAGAAAGTCCCTGTCAGTCAGAATCAACTCACTGGTGGTGGCTCGGTACCACATACTGTTTTAACACATTTGTCTCATTTTCTTACTTACTCCCTACCACAGCCCCCATGTTCAGTCTTAGTATTATTGCCGGGGGAGTTTCTGGGTGATGCAAATGGTTCAATGTTCAATGACGCCCAGAAAGCTGGCATTTCTCATCGGTCTACACTCACCTCGGAAGAAAGGCCTGGGGGTCTGCTTCAGAAAGGTCATAAGGAGTGCCCTTTGGTTTGAGAGCACATGGGTCACCAGGAGTCAGAATGGACTCTACTGTGACTGCCCTGGCCTTTCATCGTGACCCAGGGTGCAGTGAGGAGCACACGGTGTGGACTGGGCCAGCGTCAGAGAGTTGGTTGATAACCAAGCTCCGAGCCAAATCTACATCTCTGTGACTACAGAGCTTGCGTCCTGCCCGTGTGCTGCCTCCACGATCAGGGTCATGTAGCCCCCGACCTTGTTCTTTCAGACCCATTTGGGCTGAGAAACGTTCTATGTAAACTCTCTGTAAAACTATGACTTTTCAACTCATAGACAGTATTTAAAAAGATGCTTAAAACATGATTTCATTGTGATTGTAGAGAAGACTAATGGGTACATTATTTTATTTCTCAGATGATTTTAGTCCCGAAAACCTATGAGTTTTTTAACATAAACATGTATACTAATTTGATCATTTAAATTTGATATATTTTTCAATCCATAAGTGATTTGTTAATAGTTATTTCCCTTCTGTTTTTAGCATGTTTGTAAAGCACTTCAAGAATTATACAGCGTTAATTGTTCAGCTGAAGATGTTTTCAATTTGGACTCCAGCACCGATGAAAAATTCAGCCGCCATTTAATATTTCAGCTCCGCAATGTGGCATTTAAAGATAACATCCATGTTGGTGAGTGTGCTGCTGAGCGAGGGAAAAGACAGAGAAGACTGTTTGCTAGTCTGTGTGCTCTTTAGGATTGATTCGTTCTTTGGAGTTAGCACGGCCCTCCATTCACCTGGATAAGTCCTAATGGTCTGTTAAGGCTTAGAAGACATGAAGTCATTTGAGAAACCGTTCCTGTCACATAACCAGCTCCAAGTCTTTTGTTAGACCTCTCCTCTGGCCTTTTGATAGCTTAATTCATCACTTAATGCCTCACAGCATTCACCCCTTCCTGGCGTGATTTTTGGCTTTGCTCCCCTGCTGTTCTTTTGGGCAGAGACTGTTTCTTCTTCACCGTTGTCTTTCCAAGGTTAGCATCTAATAGTTATAATAAGAATGTAACAACAATAGCAAACATAAGTCGGCATCTAATATTGCTGAGTGAATGACTACCTGTTAAGTAGGTGCGATTGTCAGAGCAATAAGGCAGAGTGCTAACTAAGCAAGATGCTTTTTTGGTTCCTATTTGCGCCTCATGGTCTGTGCCGAACTGAAACATGTGCATCTGTTGATGGGGAAGAAGAGGCGAGTGGAAAGGTGATGGGTAACTAGTGGTCTCTGCTCCAGTGTCTTCTGAAAGCAGATGATGGTCGAGCTGGACGTGAGATAAAATTTCATCACATAGACGAAGATCAGAAAGGCTTTGCTATCTGAGGGCACAGCATGCACACAAGCACAGAGACAGGAATCTGTGGCTCACTCGGGGAGCAGTGGGTAATCTTTTGTGGCTAGAAGCAGAGACCATCCCCTGCTCAATGGAACTTCATCTGAGTCTTCGTGTCCCTACCACATGAGCGACCAGGATTAGAAATGGAGCAAAGGATATGAAGGCTTTCCCCAAATTTCCCCATGAAGTCCCTTCCCAGTATGTATCTCTTGACTACATTTGATTCTTTTTGTGAACCTTTTAGACAGGAACATTAGGTTAAATATAAGAGACAATAGAAGGTTTGCAAAATGTTTACATTTGATTTGCCAAAATATCCTCTTTGGCCAGCCTGCTGAAATTCTATGATTGACCAGTTTTTATTAGTCAGTAAGGCAGTCCCTGTATTGATGTGTGTGGGGATGGTGAGGTGGGGATGGGAATTATAAAGTTGTTTTGCTTCTAATTGCCAGTGTGGTGGTTTATACTGGCTCACGGAGGTGATATTCGGTACCTCCCCAGCCACCTAGCACTACCATCACCTAGCACTACCATCACAGACATGTTCTCACTTGTCTCATTAACCCAAGGGATGCAGTGGTTAAACGTTCAATCACTAACCCAAAGGACGGTGGTTCAAACCCACCAGTGGTCCCACGGGAGAAAAGACCTGGCACTCTGCCTGTAAAGACCAGAGCCTGACAGCCCTAGTGGGGCAGTTCTACTCTGCCCTGTACGGTTGCCCCGAGTAGTCATCAACCCAGCCGTACACAACAAGAAGTAGGCGGAGATGTAAGAGTCCCGGGACATTTCCTTGACCCACCGAAGTTTAATTGCTTTGTCCTGCCCCGGCCATGCCCCCTGAATGTGCCCGTCTCATCTGTACTGCTTTGTCCTTGCCCATGGTCTGGCTTCCTGTCCCTCTGTAAGTTCAGAGAGTCCTCATGTTCACGTGGTGATTGCCAGGATCAAATGCTTTTGCTTTCATTGTGATGTATAGTGTGTCATAATACGTTGGATTTATTTCCTTGGGGAGGAAAGTGACTCAGTCTAACTTTGGGAAAGGGAATTTTTAATTTAGAGTTTGCACGTCTCCTGATGTACAGGTCCAAACCTAGGTGATGAATAACGTGACAACTGAACTCGTTATAGACATTAAAATTAAGTTAGGCTTTCCTTACAGTATTACATTTCCCTAGTATTATTCTACACAAAACAGAATAAGGACTAAATTGTGGCCTGATAAAGTAGCATAAACAATAATATGGGAGTTTCAAGACGTTTTAATCGCCGTAATCAACTTTTAACTGGAAAGATTAGACCAGTGATCGGAAGAACTCTCAGGATAACTCACAAAAACCTCAGGGCAGTTACAGCCTGACCTGTCGGGTCCTTAGTCGGAAGGGTCTTAGTGGATGGCAGGGAGTCTGAGGAACCCCGGTGCCATCGTGGTTGTGTTTGGGGCTGTTAAGCAGCAGTTTGAACCCACCAACTATCGCATAGAAGAAAGAGGGCTTTCTACTCACATCAAGAGTTAGAGTCTTGGAAACCCACAGGAGCCCGGTACTCTGCCTGGTAGGGTAAGGCAATTAAAAAGTTTTTTAGGTTTTTTAAAAAAGACAATAAATATATTTAATACATGTATTTCATTTCTTTTACTATCACTAAAAACCAATGTCATACATTTTTTATAAATGAGAACAGTTGCAATGCAAATGTGTGACAATAGTGGTCATTTAGAAATATTAAGGTCCATGCTAGAAGCTTCCCTTCCCTTCAGTCCCTATCAGTGCTGCACCGTTGAGATTGTAACCGTGTGTTTCACACGAGGAAACTGACTCTCACACACAGACACTGTCGCATCTACTCCCTTACGCTGCTCGCTCTCATTAGAGATGCATCACCAAAGGCGTGGCGGCGTTTACATTGACAGCACTCAGGCTTTCTTCCTTAGCGTGATCACCCCAAATATCCTTAGTCTCTCTTAACTGGTACCCTTTTGCCCACTCCCTCCCATTCACCTTGTCTGAGAGTCAGTGCTCCACCCATGCTGGGCTTTCTTTGTAACAAGGAGAGAAAGGCGACATTCCTTGGTGGAGAAACCAGAGCCACAGCCACCTGCTATAGGGCAGCGTGTACACTCCTGGGAGTTTCCCGACACCCAGCTGGGCGTTACCTTGAAAGCCCAGCCCTTCGATTCTGTAGTCGCTGATTGTGAAGATAATTCTACCCAGTTGTGCTTGCTTCAGCAGCACATATACTAAAAATAATTCTACCCAGTTTGGGTTAATAACAGTGGTGCTTATGGTGACATCAGTAGGCTACACGCAGGTCCATACTGGCAACATGGATCTATTTTCTCAAGTTAACCTTCCCACTTAAACCGTTGGTTAAGAGTGCCACCGAGCTGTCCTATCAGTGGGAGTTAAAACGGAGACACAGCACAAGGAAGGAGGTTGATATGCTCCAGCTTATCTAGATACGGGTAATAGCAACAGCTCAGTTTATCTAGATACGGGTAATAACAACAGCTCAGTTTATCTAGATACGGGTACTAACAGCAGCTCAGTTTCAAAACCAAAAGTAACAAGTCGTATCACATGTAAAGTTGCCATGTGTAGATTTGCCCCTTGGATCTAGTTGCATAAAACAGCGTAATCATACGGCTTTTTTTCCTTAGGTAATTTTGTCAGAAAAATTTTGCAGCCTGCTCTTAACTTAATCACCAGTGGAGATGATGATGGAATTCCAGAGACAGCAGGGCCTGGATTTTCCCATTTTTCTGAAGCACCAAGAAAACAAGCAACTTTCTTTAACACAATGTCCATGCAAAAAGACAGGGACGAGAGTGGGGCATTGCCTTCAGGAACACTGGAGAGGCCTGGCTCCGCAGAGCACAGCAGCCCTGAGCTCTCGTTCTTAGTTGTGAAGACCCAGACAGGAGCGAGGCACCTTTTTGTGGATCTGGGTAAGCGCAATGGACAGCCCTCAGCAGACCGCCCTGGTGTACGTCTGTAGGAGACTAGTCACTACCCCCTTGTCATTTCCCTCGGCCCAGCACCGCTTCCCCGCAGGGTTGCTGGGGTCACTAGCAGAATGCACCCAGTGACCTCGGGTGCTGGCTCCACTACGTTCCTGTTCGGTCCCCATGGAAAGGACGCACCCAGCGGCCTGAGCTCCAAAGGGCAGGTGGTTTGTTTCTGCTCCAAATGCCAAAGGATTCCTGTGTGGAGCATTGGCAGGAAACAAATGGACCGGCACTCTGGCACCATGGAGAGGCTGGGTTAGAGTGGATAAACGTAGAAACAGAATCTAGAACTGGGGCTCTTGTGTGGCCAGGTCAGGCTGGGCATTTGGTCCATTGATAGCTCTGCAGCAGCGAGGGCAGCTTGTTGGTAGGGGTAGGTAGGGCCCACTTTATCAGCTGCCTGGACCCAGCTGCGCTCCTGCTCTCTGAATCAGCGAGCAGGAAGGCCAGACAGCAGTCTGCTTCAGCAGCACACAGGCCGGTGATGTGATGCAGTATACTTCATTTTTGTCAGTGGTTCTCAACCTTCCTAATGCCGTGACCCGTTCATACAGTTCATGTGGTGGTGACCCCCCTTCCAACCATACAATTATTTTCATTGATACTTAATAACTAATTTTGCTACTGGTATGAATCAGGTGACCCCTGTGAAAGGGTCATTTGAGCCTCCAAAGGGGTCACGACCCACAGGTTGAGAAACGCTGATTTTTATACTCCGGTTCTACCTAGTGGTTCCAAAAGCCGTAAGAGCAACCTTTGCCATCCTCCGTGAGAGTCCCTCGGAGAGGCCAGTTCCTAAAGGTTGAGAGAAAGTAAGTTAAAACTACAGGCAGGATAAGCAAGTGTTCCTTGTCTTTCAAGTCCCTGGGTGATGCAAACGGCTAAACACTGGACTGGGAACAGAAAGGTTGGCACTTCAAACCCACTGGAGGCACGTCGGTAGATGGGCTAGGTGATCTGTTTCTGGCGTGTTACAGCCTTGAACTCTGTACACTCACTGGGTCACAGTGAGTCGGAATCAAGGGTGACTGGCAACGATGTGCAGAATACTACGATCCGGAAAGACTGCATGTCTTCTTAGCACCTCTGACAACCAGTGCCAGACCTTGACAACGCGCTCACATAGTTAGGTGAGTTATCTTCGAGGACCGATCCGCTCCAGGAGGACTTGCCTGTGATCAGCCAGGAGAGAGGCGTGACTGAGCTTTCTACAGGAGAGCAGCGGTCACCAGGGACGGTGCCCCACCTCTGCCCCGAGATTAAAAACTCCAAACACAGCACCTGAGGCATGACAGTGATAGCCTTCAAAGTTAGATGATTGGACTCGCATAGGACGTTCCCTGATCTTCTCGTAAGAACTGTCTCTAAAGCAGGCCCAGCTTCATTTCGGTATCAAAAAGGTAGATCAGATGAGCATTGATTCCTTGATCTGATCAGTAGATTTTCAAATTCGATTGGCCTACTGCTCCCTTTTCAGGAAAAAAAAATTACTCAGCGCCCCCCTGGCAATGAAAAATGTTTATACTATAACCCACAATCCAAGATAAACTATAGGTATCTACTTTTGTAGCCCCGTGGAGCATCCCAGCACCCCCCACCCCGAGTGTGGTATTGTCCACATTGGGAAACACTATTGAATCTGGATCT